AATTACAGCCCCCACAATTACATACTGATCAGATACAAACCTTCCATTATTTTATAACGCTTTGTACTTGTTTGTGTTTATACTGTAAATGTAAAAGTTTTTTTTTTATGGATGATAATGAAATGGTTACCCCGCCTGCACTAACAGTATACGCTGGCGGAGCACCAGTGAGGGATGATAGGTGACGATGAGTTAAAGTTAGACAAGTTAGTTAGCCCATCGTGACAAATTACACTAGAATTAACCATGATAGTTTCCAGGGGGAACCGCGTGGAAGTCGAACTGATAAGGTGCTAGCCAGGTAGTTTAGCCCTATTACTAACAATCCCTTTCCCCCAATGTAAAAGTTTGTAAAGTTGTTTGGATGCTTAGATATTTGGGTGTTTGCTAGTTAGTTATGCTTGAACGGGATCGAATAAAATTTGTTAGGCTATATCCTAAATTAACACACATGATACTTTTTATACGGATGTTTTTTTATACTACTTAAGTGGCTAACAAGCCTACGGCCCACCTGAAGGTAAGTGGTTACCGTAGCCTATGAACGCCTGCAATACCAGGGTTATGAAGCAACCTCTTTACCCCCCTTTTGAAGAACCTCATGCTGTAGTCTCTTGGGAAAACCAGGGAGCTTATTCCAGACGTAAGACTAAAGGACATTATGGTGGGTAGTAGCGCTCCTCTTAAAACATCACTAAAAGTCTAACTGCGGTTGTTAGCCCATCTACCAAGCGTGGCAACTACTAGTAAACCCCCCCCCCCTTTAGGAGAAGCTATGTTCAGCAGTGGGCAGTTAACAGCTGATACAACAAGCGGGCAAAGTCAAATAATGTAGCGTCTTAAATCCCAAAATGCTCATTACTCCAGTTTTTAATTATTATATGAATTTTATAACGGTATTTCGTAGTACCGTGTTTATGTTGGTAATAAATTTAACCAAAACTTCTGGTCTGAATGATGTGTAATTTATATTTTGGAATTGCGTCGGATTACGGTTTATTTGCTTTCACATTTATGTATTTAATTTTTAATACTAAAATAGTGGGAGGAAAGGGATTGTTAGCAATGGGATCAAATAGCCCTATTACTAGCAATATACCCTGTCACGTCGACCTCCACGTGGTTCCCCCTGGAAACCATCGTGACTAATTTTAGTTTAATTCGTCACGATGGGCTAACTGACCTACTTCATCCTCACCTATCATTCTTCACTGGTGCCCCGCCGGTGTATACCGATAGCGCGGGTGGGGTTACCATACCATTATCACCCATTAAAAAAAAAAAACTAAAATAGTTATATATCTGTCGGATTTGCAAGTTTCTTTATTATATATCAAGTAGAAAGGATTGGAGTTGAGTTAAAACAAAAAATATTGTGTTGGGGAATAATAAAAAATATCTAAGTTATCAAAAACATTCTTATAAATATTATAAATGTGAGTGATTTTATTTGTTACCATATTACCTCCTTAACAACTTAACCAATGGTTATGAAACGTAGATACTATATGGAATGGAGAAAAATATAGATTTTTTATCCTAGTCAGTAAACATATCGCGGGTATAAGTTAATATAAAATAAAACAAAAAATATATAAAAAAATCTACTAAATATAGAAAATAATGATTTGTCAAGTTGCCAGCAACAAATTGTCCTGTGTTAATCCAAGTTATAGGCTACCTATTGAACACTCGAATCCATTCAATCGCTAAACCGTGATTGGGTAACAATCATCCAAACATCTTTACTTTCACATTTATATTATTAGTAGAATTCAATGGTCTGGACTGGCTAGCATTTCTAAAGCTAGCGTCTGATCTAAAATTTTATCTCTGCATCGTTCACAACGAGTGTAGGTAAACGTTACGACACGGCTGCTTTTAGCAGATTGGTTTTCAAGCTTGACTCGCTTTTCTGACCATAGTACGTCAGTCCTTCAATCAGTTGTCAGTTTATAATTTAAAATTGTGTTTCACAAAAAAAACCGGACTTAAATTGTGCCAAAACTAGTTATTTTGATTAAAATTAAACTGCAAAACTGATTTCGACAAAATTTCTTTAGGTACTACTCTATAAGCGTATCCTTTCATTTAAAAAACGAATTTTCCAAATCGTTTATAACTGACGGATTTATAAGGCAACAAATATAAAAAAAAATACAATCGAATTAAGAACCTTTTTCCTCTTGAAATCTTTTTTCTAGTTAAAAATATGTTTATATATACTTATATCATGATCATATCGGCTGATATCGTCATATTAGCTGTTAACAATCCATTGCTGCATTGCATTGCGTTTGCATCGCTGTGTTTCGGTTTGAAGGGTGGGATATGCCGTGAATTTACTGGGTACAGAGGAAAAACACCTGAGTTCTCAGGAATGACAACGCATGGTGGGTATCATGGGCGAAACAGAATACTCTGTTATGTCCATGTTACTGCTCATGTCTATAGGCGACGGTTACCATTTTCCAACAGGTGGACCGTCAGTTTGTTTGCCTTTCTTAGTTGTATAAAAAAAATTAGTCTCTCCTATTGAGGGTGCTGCCAGTAGTTGCAACGCTTGGTAGGCGGGTTAGCAACAGTTAGGTTTGAGGGACGCTGCTGCCCATCGTTTGATCATTAAGGTCTTTAAGTCGCCTCTCTCGACACCGGGAGCACACAACATACATAAATATCTTTCATTATTTGTTACCGTTATAATAGTGTAATGAAATGTTAAAAACTGTTGTAGCTGCATTCAGATGGGTTTAATCTCTATTAAAGTAATATTATTATAGTAGTTTAATGTCAACTTATATTTCCATTAAAGAATAAATACATAAGTAGACTACAGCCGTAAATGGACATTTGTTGATCACCATGTTATCTGAATAAATAAATAACTTACTTTTTTTATTCAAATAGATATGGCAACTATATGTACTTGACATATCAATGGCAAACAAATGAAGAAAAAAGTATAAAGTTAAACGCAGTAGCATGCAGTAGTGTCTAATATAAAACACATATATATCGAAAGTGCAGTAATTTGAATTAGTTATTTAGTTTTTTTTTTTTATACGAATGATAAGTTTTTATCTACTCTAAGCTAGAGTATTAAAAATATATATTATTATATTTCTTGTTTTCGATTCTTTTGTGTAAATGACTATGGCAATGTTTTAAAGTGTAAAGAAGTCTCATATACGGCCCAGTAATTTTACAGTATCAGATACACAAGAACTGTAGGAAATATAGAACAATTTTAGATTTACTAGGTAAGTAGTTTTCGGTTCCAAAAATACTTTCCTTAAATTTTTTTACGCTTATTATGTCACGTTACGTTTCATATATTAAAGTAAAACTTAAATTAATTGTATTGTTTCATTCCTCATTTATATTAACCGGTAATTGTCCGCTGCTGAACATTAGTCTCCCCCATAAGGAAGGTTCTAGGGTTGGCAACCGCAGTTAGGCAGTTTTGGTTATGTTTTAAGATGGACGCTGCTGTTACCTTAGCAGTTTTTATGTCATAATTTAATATCGTAATTTCTAAATATGAAAATAATAGGAAATTGTCATAGGATTTCAATAAAATATGAAAATAATTCTTGTGACACGAACGAGAACAGGAATGTATCCATGTACTACAAAATAGACATCTCGCATGCAGCACTTTAACATCGACGCCATTTGCATTGAATCTCGGGAGCCCGAGATAATGTTGCCTGGACGAACATAAATTCAAATCTATCTGTACACGGAGAGGTTGCATAACCGACTTCCTTATTCGATGACGCTTTATGGTAACTATTACCATTTATATTAATCTATGATCATCAACTGCTAATGCAGAGGTTCATTGGCGGATCATATTAGCAGTTAAGAATAGTTGATTCATGTTATATAATAAAGAAATAATAAATCATACAGAGTACGTAGGTATAATGTCTTTTTTTTTTACAAATGGGAATGTCAAAGAAGTATGTAATGTGTGTAGATAAATGGGTCATCCATCTGATGAAAAGTAGTATTTAGCTGATAGATATAAAGAGTACCATGACATCATATATATTGTACCTCATGCTTGCTGTTCCTGAGAACCAAGACATTATTATATTACTATGCTTTACCCATGACTTCGTCCGCGTGACCGGAATATGTTCACTGACTGAGACAAAAAAGTAGCCTATATATTTTCCCATCCCATATACTATGTACGAGTATATACCAAATGGATTCATTAAGCCATTATAAATGATTATTTTAGTAAAGTACTAATATTTTAGGATTTTCACTTAAATGGAAATTTCACAGCCGTGGCTGTGGGATTTTTGAATAGTTTGGCAAAGATAAGAGAATTGCCTGATATTTATATTGTTATATTTATTGCCTATTTTTTTTAACATAAATTCTTTCATAATACTTAATTATTATAAAAAATGCCACTGTGCCAATAAATATATATACAAAACATAAAAGACTACTTAAGTTAAGTTAATAAGTTAAGATTAAACATAAAAGACTTTATATAGAAGAGAAAATTTCCTACTAATATTAGTAAATATGATATTAGTGGGTTATCATAACAAAAAACCTATTTATTATTTATAGTCACGTAAGTATTCTTTATACTATTTTACCAGAAAATCTGAACATTTTTCTGATAGAAACAATTTCATTTTGAAATTATACCGGAAGTTTTCATCCTGTAAAATTTCATAAAAAAAGTCAAGTAAAACAAACAAATTCATTATTAAAATCTATAGTCTTTAATTTGCCTCATTAAATAGAGTTTACTGTATAATTGTACTCAGTAATTGTTAAGTTTTGTCATTGTTAGCGCACCGTCACGTGCACTGAAAACCAATCTTCTCTACGGTTTCACAATGGCCGTCATAAAAGATCAGCGATCCTTTTATTTCAATTTTGAATAGAACAAAAAACTCACGATAATTTTAAATGCATTGCAAAAATGTAAACTTTATGTACTTAATATTAGAGTCTAAAATATTTACCTAATTCATATGGCGCAGACTTATTCTGAATCTTCAAAATGGCGGATGTTATGTAATAGAGCAAGAGCTGAGAGATGACAATCTGACTGTTGCCCCAAATGCCTGGACAGCTGAAACAATATATTATTACAAATCTTAGCACGTTTATTAAATACATAATTATATCTTTAAAGACTTAGATTGAATTGAAGCTTGTAATTAATGTTAATTTATGTATTTATACATATATCATAATCATTATTAGTAAAAGTAATATCATATTTTGACCACCTTGTTATATGGCAGTTTCTCACGCCTTTTCAAAGACATCCAAGCTATAATCGTCATGGTTTCCCGCGTCTTATGAAGATTAGATGCGAGATTAGAAAAAAGTTAATTTTTATACTGTAGGCAACGGCAAAGTTTGCAGCTTATCCAATAAAAATGGTACTCATCGCCAAACGGGAAAAGTACGGATTTATATAGTTATAACAAGTAATTATTATAAAAAAAATATAATTTTCAGACCGAAACAACGCAACACATATCACACAATATTCCATTACCTAGGTAGTACTTTTTTACTATACAGGAGTTACAAAACAGAATATTTTTCCCTAAAAAGCGTAGTCAGAATCTCTAATTAATTTTAAACAGAATTTTCTATACAAGCCGCGCAATCAAGTGATTGATGTTAAAAAATATTTTCCGATTTTGAATACGCATTTTGAGGCAATTCAAATTCACAAATACGTAATCCCATCAAAAACATAAAATGTGCAAGATGTCGAAGTTTTCAACGCAGTTCTTCCACTACAAAAAATTGTGAGATATTATGTTATATATTATATTATGTAAAACCAAGTCAGTTAGTGTCTATGGAAGACTATATTAGATATCTTTACTTCTCTAAGAATTATAATGACTTGAAAATTGCATGACGCATATTCTACTAATAAAATACTATATTGCAAAACACACTATTTAGATTTACTTAGTAATCGAAATAGTAGATTTTGCATAAGATTATTCTTTTATAATTATGATATCTGATAATCTATTGACAAATTTATCTAGCTAGGCAATAACGCTGGAAAACAAATGCTGCAAAATATTTGTTTAATTTTGGCCGGGTATTTGATACTAGCTGTTCAATACTAGCTCTCGCAACAGCATTTCGACAATTAGAGTATGTATTATAAATTAACTGAAGCCAAACTGAATTTGTGGAGAGATACAACACACATAATCTATTTGTATGTATCAATATTAGATGTCTCTACCTACACGTTACGCTCTGAATATTTTATTTTCTAATCTGTTAACGAGTCCAGATCTGCACTGCGGTTTAGTAATTTAAGAGTAAATAGTATGCGTGGGTTTCAAAGGCTTTCTATGTAATAGAATATTTGTACTTACACGAGTTATCAGATAATTAAATTATAATAAACGTCACTTTTTTTTATGCAAATTAGAATGGCAAACAAGCTGACGGCCCATCTGATGGAAAGTGGTAACCGTCACCTATATACATAGCAGTACCATAGACTTATGTACATGAGTATACTTGTTTCAACCATGATACCCCCCATGCGTTGCCATTTCTGAGAACTCGGGTGTTATTCCTCTGTACCCTGTAATATGCTACCCTTCAAACCGAAACAGTCATGCAAACACAACTGCTTCACGGTTGAAACACGAATGGGACAGAGGTGCCTAAGCAAACGAATTTTGTACAAAGTGTCCCTCTGATAAATTAACATGATAATTATGGAAGTTATTTTAATATTCTTTATTGCACTAAAACATACAGTTATATTTTTTTTATGTTTTTGTAATCTTTTAGCAAGTTCTATGTTCGGCTGTACAATAAATGGTTGAAATAGTCATAACTTAATGAGGATTTTTAACTTTCACACAAATAATTTAAAGTTCTTTTTAGCACAAAACTTAGTCACGTTTAATAGCAAAAAAGTTAACATAGGATCAATACGAAGTACTATAAATCATTTACAAAAAGAGTTATTAAAATCAATTTACAATTAGTGAAAATAGTGCAATATACATACCTACGCGTACATACCAAAATTTTTGAACAATAGTAGGAACAATCTATGCTGCGTTCACAATAACAGCAACTGATGCGGGAGGAAGGAAAATCAGTGATGACAAATAGCGTTTTCACCATCGTATGATATATGATCTGGTTGAGTATCCAGCAGTTCCTCGGGAAAATCATTTTAGTTATTTTATTTATATATTTTATTTTTTATTTAGTTATTTTATTTTATCATCTTTCATAGATCATCATCATCATCATGTAATGTGTCAATCATCAAAGTGTCCAAAGCTTCCTCTATAAACTGCCACAAGGAACGGAATCATGTCTTATGCAGCAGTTTACCATTGGAGGGATTTTCCCAGTAGCTAGCACGGTTGGCAGGCGAATTGGCAACCGCAGTTTGGCTTTTGGTGATGTTTCAAGAGGAACCCTGCTGCCTATTTTTCGACTATTAAGTTAGATTCAAAATATTAGTTGTTATTTTACTTAAAAAAAAAGCAACAAAATATCTATAAATCTTTATCATCTAAGCTTGCAGTCGAGAGTTGTAGACGAGTTAGTACATTTGAACTTGTAATCTCTTTGCAATTACGTTGTAAATGTAATTTGTTTGAAGCTCGTTTTTGCTGTTATGTTTTAATTGAGAAATATAACAAAAACGTCCGGCACTAATCATCATTTAGTTTCGGCTACTACAGCTCAGGGTGCATCCATTAAAGTTGTCAAGAGGCGCCAGCTATCTTTATATGTTTGTAAATATAGTATGTTTTAATAATTTAATAATGTAAAATAAAAATAAGGCAAAATAAAAGTTTTCTTGAAATTATCACAGAAACACCCTTTAAATAAAATTAGTAACATATCATAAATTGATTGACAGTAAATAGAAGAAGGAGATTTTGTACAAAAGTCGATTGCTTGGGTACCTCTGTCCTATTCGTGTTTCAACCGTTTATATATTTTAGTTTATTCGATTGTTTATATTTTCATTATGTTCTTTTGAAACAAACCATAACTTCCCCTATTAAGCCTATAAATTATTGTACCTCACTGGATGTAATTTTGATAAAATTTAAGAAAACAGAGTGAACTGACGCATATTCTTTCTTTACACACATCTCTTGCTTCATTCAATTTCATCACTCGTCATAGGTATGCACAATTTAATAACACGTCAGTAAACAATAAGGTCAATAAACTATAGCTCCAAGTTCTTTTACAAAATCTTAAATTAAATTGGAACATAGCAAAATAGGATGAACCGAATAATATATAAATAAGAAATTTTATAGACCTTGTATAGATAAGGCAAAAAGCAAAGTTTAATTGTATGACAAAAAGTCCTTTTCTTTTTATGAGAGACTATTTGCCAATACAAGCTCAAGTTTATTCGTTAACTTGAGTTTTTCCTGAGTTTGATTCGAGGAAGAATAAAAGTATTCTTGAATTGGTTTTGTTAAAAGTTTCCTTGAAATGTCACGGTTATATGCGCGTGACCTTTTTAGAGATATTGCTCTGTGGAAAAACAATGTATTATACTCATATTTGATATTATTATTGTCCAGATGTCTACATTTAGCCTTTGACTATATAAACTAACAAACAAACCGACGCCCACCTTAAGTTCTTTATTCGGTAATTATGTGCAGCAAATATATAGAAGCTAATGTAACTATAAGTATGTAGAACTCGCCAAATTTATGAAACTTGTTTTGCGTGCACGCTTTGTATGATTAATATAGTCTTAAAAATTTATATTTTTTTTTTTGATGGGTGAAAATGGTATGGTAACCTGTGCTAACGGGATACGCTGGCAGAGCACCAGTGAAGGATGATAGATGATAATGAAAACAGGCCAGTTAGTCCATCATGACGAATTCATCAGGAATTAACTATGATAGTTTCCAGGGGGAACCGCAAGGAGGTCGACCTGGTTGGGTATATTGCTAGCAATGGGATTATCAGTCTCCATTACTAACAATCCCTTCCCCCCCCCTTAAAAATGTATTTGCCGCATTATAAATTATAACTACAGTAATAAATCAATTCAATGTTTGTCAATGATAATATTTTAAATTATTTATAAGGTGAAAAGGTTAAGAAAAGAAGAAGATTCTTTGCTTGACAATATTTTTTGTAAATGAAAAACTTGTATGTGAAATAGACTGGTTTGTTAATCCAAGATGAAAGCATTTCTAGCATTAAGTAGTCAGCTACAGTTTGACAAAATTACAATAATCACTAAATCTTTTATTTAAAAAAAAAATCTTAAAAAGTCGTTTATTTGAAATTTATCAAAGTGTACAGCACGCCTCGCGTTCGCTTCAAGAACTTTTAAAAGACTCCAAGGACCTTTTCTGCTCTTTGTGAATATATCATTTCAACTATTTGAGATATTTAAATCGAAGAAAATTGAATAATTTCAAACAACAACATTACTATAGACATGAGCTGTATGGGCCCTTTGCCTTTGTCTTTTCTTTTGGGATAAACAGAATAAAAAAGTTATTGTTGAACGAGAAAATCTTTTTTTAAATTTTGATTAAAACTGGAGGCCATGAAAATAATTAACAAACGTCACCCACGGATAAGAACATCACCATGGGCTTCAAATGTTACTAATACCTACACTGTAACGCCCTTGGCGCCTATTATGTTCATTTTGCTAATTAAGTGGATATTTTTAAGATATTGCCAAATATAACAGACAGTGGGTTTATATTTACGCCAAAGCCGTACATTTACGATTTATAAATGATAGTTGTAATTAAATTTATATATGCTTATCTCATGGCTTTCATTTCTTCATAATAGGCATGTGTTATGAGATCGTGAAATGTTATTTATATAGTCATTACGTTATATTATGAAACGTGTATTAATTTATAAAATTTTATTATTTTATATAGTTCATTAAAATAAATCAATTAAATAACTTTAACGAATAACTATAAAGTCGTAATACTTACTCTTACAGGCAATTATTATAAAATCTTTACAATAGTATAGTAGTGAATAATACAGATAACCCCTTATTCATAAAAGCTAAAACCTACACACTTATTTTAA